AGTGGACGGGAAACCCATATAACCAGAGTATTATACAAGATGATATGCAGCACCTGTAACCTCAATATAAGTACAGGTTCCAGCACACTCAAGAAAAGTCAAGAAAAAATGAAGAAAATATCAGCACCATATGTCAGCCTATGTATAAAATGTCCCCTTAGTCTTCTTTGTTTTGATGGGTAGTATATCATAGACAGTTCGGTGTGACTAAGAGTTGTGACTGAAATATTACTCTAGTTGTTCTTTTTTGGCTATATTCTATGACATAATTTGATAGAACCTGTTTGAAATTACTCAAACATTTTAGGAATGCTAAATAAAATGTTTATCTGTTGGGCCATGATGTTTCACAATGTTTTGGCCTTTTATCATCAACATGTTCATCAAGCTTGAGGTTGTCCATACTTTCTTATTTGTCAATGTCTTCAACCTGTTGGCATGATTTATCACATAGAGTTTCGGAAGGATAAACCATAGGATGATTGAATTCTGATCTACCTAAACAGACACAATACTCAGATTTATAGGTTACACTTTTAACTTCGCAATAGATGAGAAAATACTACAGAAATACAATCAATAAACTATTGTGTTGTGAGCAAGGAAGGACATGTGATTTTTAGATGAATATATAAGCAGAACTGTCAAAGGGTGTGATCTCACAGAAAACGCAATTTTGCAAAATTGTTGAAAAAACATGAACAAATTATAGTTTGAAATGATAAGAATGCACCATATACAATGTGAATTTTAAAAAATTCTGGAGATCAATCCTGTACCCCCTTCCCTTTTTGGATGCAAACCCCAAAAAATCACAATCTCTTGACTTTTGCTGGCCATGCCCCTGTTACCGCCTGTATCCCCTGTGTAGTAACAAGGTAGTAGTACCTGACTGTTTAGCTTCTGACATTAAAATTACAAATCAACAATTAGTATCAACGCATATATAGCAGAAATCAAAGGAACATAATTAATCAACACTCGATTCTCTCTCTTTACAATAAGAAATAGTTGATGCCATTCATGTTGACCTTTATACTTTCCATGGTAATAAAGATGTTGGTCCTCTTGACTGACAGGATAACCTTTGCAGTCAAAGAACTGAGACATTTTCATGGAAAATACCTTTAATATATTACCCAACTCAACAGCCTATCTTGTTAGTATTTCCTGTTAAAAGTCAATAATAGATTTCCAAGAAAGAACAAATTAACTTTTTTTGATAAGTGCAATGTCACATTTTATTAGTTCAAATTCATTGCCTGTTAAAAAGACAATGTCAAACAATACAGCCATTAATACAACTCAGGTTTAAGGTCAATGGTTTACTACTGTTTGATTCATATCATATGACAATATCAAAGGCACTAGGGAGTCGGGCTTCTCTATCAAAACATAAACAAGGTTTCAGATGATAAATGATGTAGCCTTTAAGTTGCTCTTTACATTGTAGTGGCAGAGATAATTGATATTATGGAATGAATAACCTAATATGCCTTTTTATTGAGTCCCAAGGGTGAAGGATATTTACTTGATCTATGGATATTCTCAAATGGTCAGACATCTGGTAATTGGCATCTGAATAAAATTGATTTTGTGCATCAGTATAGCATCTTAGAAAAACATTCCTATAATTTGTCTTAAGAACAATTTCATCCACAAATATTGTTGATGACACGAGTATTGGTTTATCAATTTATATAAATTCTTCTACATATATTGCAATGGCTTCAGTATGAATGAAGTGTTCCTTGGTGTTATGGTCCTGGATTGTGATAATGGAACTTAAGTTAATTAAATTGATTATGTGGGGAATTTAGTGAAATGCCTTAAAATGTGAAGGGTCACTGGCTATAATCGCTAGTAAAACGGATGGAACAGAAAGTAAGATTATCATACAAGACACCTCCTTTCACTCCTCTAACAAATTACCAGCCGTCAAATTTCCTGAACAAGATGAATGTTTCGAACAATCTAAGAGTAATTTCCTTTGACAATAGAATGATACAATGTAAACACAGGGAGTGCCAGACACCAGGAAGCCGAAGGCCTCCAATGTGATTTGAACCATCCAATCAACTTTAAGGATTTTGAATGGATGATTCTGTAGGGCAGGATAGGTATGGTTTGTTGATAATACTGAAATATCAGAGAAGACTCAAACAGAGATTCTCAAGTAAATAGGTAAACATTAAATTCAATATTGCTGCATGGCGTATTAGCCAAAAGCTAAAATGGTCAAGTGCAGTCACAGTCTCTGATCCAAGTTGTTTATATACAAGTACAATTTCCCATAAATCCTAAAAAGCACAAAGAGACTTTTTAAATCCTTGTATATATAGACCATTCTTGAGCCTTTTTGGCTCTTGTAGCACAATTTTAATTTTTGTGATTAGACTCCTATGGCCAGGCTCATATATACTCCATCCCCCTATTGAACAACAAAATAATAAACCTCAATTGAAGTGGAAGAAACCAAAGCAATGATTTGAGGAAGTGGTACAAATTTGAGGTCACCATAAAATGCAAAATGAAATGATGAGGCGGGAAACCAGAGCTGCCAAATTATCTCAATCATACTGAAAGCTTTATGGTTATAGCAATTCAATTCTATATAAATCTGTGATAACTAAATAATATGTAATCTTAGAAAAATTGAATTTGATCATGGCATATTCTGACTACAGTCAGATGTTTTAGCTTTCAGTTGACCCATTCAAAGAGAATTGGCAGTAATGGTCGACAATGATCTTTAAATCTTTTATTTCATTCAGAAGAGTACCATGGTAGTGTGCAACTACTATACTACACCAACCATTGTCCGATTCCATACTATATTATCTCCCATAAATAGACTACAAAAAATTATATTTACAACTTGAGAGACTGTTGTAAACACAGATAAACCAATCATCATGAAAATGTCAACAGTCAAATCTACGAACTCCCGTGCAGTGATATATCACTGCGGCGGGCAGGTGTCTCACCGTAAGCATGGTAACATCGTAATAAACAACTGCCGTGATTGGTTCTAGTCCCATTCTCAGGTCGCGTGATTGTAAAATTTAGACAATTTCATTGGTTGAATTGCGCGTATTAACTAATAAACAACACGTGCGGTAAACTTTTATCAACACAACTTTTACTCAGAATTCCTTCCGCGGGGATTTGCTCTTATATTTCATTGATTTTGGAATATTTTGACAAAATAATTATTGATGAACATAAAAGAACATATATTTTATAAGTCGTGTGAAAAACAAGTACATCTGTGACAAAAAGGGGGACTATCTTCCCCAAATTTTGGGGATTTCATAATCTGCCCGCCGCAGTGTCTATACCGAGACACTGCATAGGAGTTCGTCAAATCTACAGCTCTAAGAAGTCATTAAGAAGAAGTTAAAAACTAGAGCCTGTCATCAATGATAGAACATGTTGATGTAGCCTTGAATCCACATCACTAAAATATGGCAAGAAGGTATAAAAAATGAAAATGTCAACAGTCAAACCTAGAGCCTGTCATCAATGATAGAACATGTTGATGTAGCCTTGAAGCCACATCACTAAAATATGGCAAGAAGGTATAAAAAATGAAAATGTCAACAGTCAAACCTAGAGCCTGTCATCAATGATAGAACATGTTGATGTAGCCTTGAATCCACATCACTAAAATATGGCAAGAAGGTATAAAAAATGAAAATGTCAACAGTCAAACCTAGAGCCTGTCATCAATGATAGAACATGTTGATGTAGCCTTGAAGCCACATCACTAAAATATGGCAAGAAGGTATAAAAAATGAAAATGTCAACAGTCAAACCTAGAGCCTGTCATCAATGATAGAACATGTTGATGTAGCCTTGAAGCCACATCACTAGAATACGTCAAGAAAGCATAAAAATAAGATATTTAGAAAAAGGAGTTTTGCAAAGAATTACGTAAATGAGTAGTTTATGAACAATAATATGACAAACATGTAATCTATATTATGTGAATATTAGAGAGAACAAGTGAGTTGAATATATAGGTACAAGAAACTCTAAGAATGGGTGATTGATCATTATTATGAAAAATATACAGCAACATGCGTTTTGTAAGTCACATTGCCTGCATGTACTTTATATGAACCTATAATAGAGCTAAGCTTTCAATATGTGAGGAAATCATAACATTATAATATGTTTAATCTGAGTTTCAGTACAGGGCGATTAATTTCAGTAATGGTGAGGCCAAATCGACCATCTACAGAGATAAAGGAACTGAAGCAATCCAACTAATACACTAAGACTCGGTTAAATTGGATGAGAAAATAGGCAATTGACACGTTCAGATTGTATTTCCTTTTCTATATCAAAGATGTATGAGGTACTCTCTGTCATCACAGATCTAGTTGTTTTCGTTCATTTCTTAGTTTGATTGACCAAACACAACCATTGTTCTTCAGAAAGTATGGTGAATGGCGTGTCTACCCCTAAATAACCAATGGACTGTGTGAATATTTACAGCATTGGTGCAACGATCTGGAGGACATACCCATAAAACAATTCAAGTTATAAGGGAAAGTATTTGGAAAAATGGTGACAACAGCGCCCCTGTTGAAATAATGCCAAGTAAATTCTGAATGTAGTGCAAGGAAAAATAAGATTACAAAAAATCTCCCATTTAACTTTTGAATCTGACATCATGGTTAAAGTTGGTATTCTTGTCAAGTTACTTCTTTACCTAATGATGCTTTGCTATATAAGAAAGGTCATGATGATATTATGTTTATAATACATGAGACTGTTGACAACATACTAGAACTTGAATGAATAAAGAAAGCTGGCCTCAAGTAGATAATGAAGATGAGAATGCTTCTAATGCACAACTGCTAATGAATCTTACTTACTTGACCTTCCCCTGAACGTTAGTTATGGCCTTGTAGCATGATGATTCCTCAGTCGGAAGAGCAACATCTACCGAGCTTGATCTCTCCTGCGGCTTTGGTACGTCTAATTTATCCTGATCACCAGCAGAAGATCGCCTATCTTCTGCTGATGACAGCAAAGGAAAGTGAGAATCCATTGAAGAAGAACGGTGACGTTCAGCAGATGGAACAACAAGGTTATTCAGTGATCCACTTGCACTAGCTGGGGATGGTGATAATTTGGGGGAGCAGCTGCTACCCTCATTTCCATCGCTACACTCCAATGAAGAACTGTCTTCGGAACTATCAGATGAGGTATCCGAGTCATCGCTTAAGTACCATCCATTCTTTGTGCTGCCTTTTATGGCATAATCTATTCGACGTTGAACTGTTGGTGATAGGGCTGGGCTCGATGACGATTCCTCTGCCTCCTGAGCAAGAGCCTCAATATGAACACAATGTACGCATAGCTTTGGTATCTCAAGCGATGTCCTTTTACGTTGATACCGCGGCAACTTCAGAAAATTATTATTATTCACTGTTTCTCGATCTGACAGGTTTTCGTCAGAAGATCCACTAGCAGTAATGTTAGGATATGGTAACTGTTTTTCATTACTACTACTATCTAATGATTTAGATCTGGGGTTAATATTCGGCACTTGCAAGGTTAGCTCACTTGTGTCAAAACTAGATGAGCGACCCCTGGTAGGGGTGTCAGGAATTTCCAATGAACTCGAACCCGATCCATTATTCTCATCAGAAGGAGCAGTTGAGTCAACAGATACTGAACGTGGTTTGTGTCCATTTGGACCAGCTTGATTGGCTGGCAAGCATAGTTTTGGTATAGCCCAATTTGGGGATGAGTTGCGTTTACGTTTGAAGAATGGCATTTTCGTTATGTTATATTCTAATAACTCATCCTGGTATATTCAAAACATATGTCTCCATCCTTTCAACCGCAGAAAAAATGTTTTTTTCTCTGGAGATTTAATCACGCCTTTTCATTTAAAATATCCTAACAAGGTTGAAAGAGAGATTGATGCATTAAATCAAATCAGAATCCGATATCAGAATTCTGCTTTGTTTTGCATTTATGCAGATCTGGTGATAGTATCCCACAATGCAATTAATAGTAATACATATACATTGATTTTTCTCGTCGTATTTACTTGTAATTGGAACACAATCACGATATGACCTCAAGATTTTCTGATGACGTTAAATGACAAGATAACATAATTAAACTCTTACTTCAAATTTGACCTTATCCTTTTTGAAGTCTGAAGAAAAATCAGATGGTTTTATAACTTCTAACCTCACCATGATATAATGAAATAATGAAACAAGGCAAAAATATAATGACCAATCAAATGAAAATAGGCCAAAATATAATGACCACGAGACTCTCCTCTAATTTCAAATTAAGTAAAATAGACCCATAATTGATTAAAATTAATTACCTAGTCACCTATATATTTATATTTTCATTATTTATTGCTGAGTTATTTTAGGCATTTCTCTGAAACCGCATATTGATCATATTTATCATTCTATCTTCCATAAGTACATACCTGGAGCTCTTTTTAATTAATTAGGATTCAGACAGATACTCTGAAAAAGTAATTTGGCAGAATGTTCTATTATAGAAGACAAAATGGAGAAAAACATGTTTGGCTAATAATTTTGCACCCAATAAACCTCGTGGAGAACACTGAGAACATTATAAAAGAAATTCATATCCATATAAAAAACAAACTTGCATGTACAGTACTAGTATAGCTTGTAATTGATTTTAAGAATTTATAGCTGCTTCAAATCTGTACTTAAGATAGTGTCTTTTGCTGAAAAGAACTGACAAGAGGATTAATGAGCGCTTCTCATCTATGAGATTATCTATTCATTCACTGGTTAATCTTGTCCCTAAAAAACATCTATCATTGGATAACCTCTACAACTGAAATGTAAACATATCTTAAATACTAAAGAATGAAAAATGCTAACTTGATGTTTTAGCATAAGGCAATATGTCATTTTATATGGATTCTATAAAGAAATGGCTTAAATTATAAAAAACATATTTTGCTTTCACTTTATGTACGAGGGGTGATTCAAAAGAAATAAGAAAGAGTTTATACTAGGCATACTAAACGTTACCTGATCAGTCAAATATTTTCACATTTGGTATATTTTGTATGTCCGCCAAATATAAAAAATGTTACTTCCAAAATATTAATAATTGGATGTTTTGAACAGAATAGATGCAAAATTGTCTCACTTCACTTGCATGTAATTTAACCCTTGATTTTGGATGCCAAGCTTCAACACTGAAACAATAGTAAAAAATGACTTGTTAAGTCATGAAGACTTAGATATTACAAACCATAGACACCCATTATATCAAAATTGTTGTTATCAATATGATAAGTTAAAATAATAAAAAATGTATTAATAACATGAAAGTACTGTAGTTGATAAGGCTTATTTGAAACTTAAAGATTGAGCAATAAGCAATACTGTACAGAATAATATCAGAAACAAAATTAGTTTGCTTGTAAATCTAAATTCTCTCTATATCTATGCTGACGTCAATAAGGCGTCTATAGAAAATGAGTAGATTAAGATCTCTGCTATCAAGTATATGAGACTCAGGTATGTGAAGTTACATCAGGGTAGCTATATCAGTGGCTCAGCATGCATATCTTGTGATTTTCAGGAGGGAGGTTTGGAAGAAAATTTGAACATGAGATTGCATTTGAAGCATTCAGAGGCATTTTTAAATATGAAATTTCTACTAATATGGACTAGTGAAATGTAAATTATTGACCATTTTTTCAGAATATCCAGTAATTTTAAAGTGTGAGGCAATTCAATATAAAAAAAATCATATTTTCTCAAGATTTTCAGAGAGCGTCATGATGTTCTATACATATATGACGTTACGCCATTGCATATATCCAATCAAACCCGGATTGTCAGAGCCAAGTAAATAATAGAAGATGAAGCTCTCTTTTAAAGAAGTGAAATCGAGATATTAGAAAGGGTAACCTAACAGGAACAACAATTAGAATTCAGTTAGAAGGGGGGGGGGGGGGGGGCCTTAAACAGATAATGCCTTAAGTTCCAAATATGTATATGTTCCAATGTATAGAGGTTATTCAATGTGAGGGATGAAATATGAATTTTATTCCTAGGGAAAATATGATATTGGCCAAAGAAAATATCATTTTGAACGAGGGTGACAGACAGAGTGTCAATATATTTTCTGAAGACTTTGATTTTTCATTTTAAAATCTAATGATTTTAAAAAGTAATTTTTCTGTAATTTAACTGTACTTCTAATGATATACATGTATACAGAAGTTTGAGAGGGTTGCTTTGTAAATGATCTCAAAGAATTGTCTCAGAGTAGAGCGTTGAGATTTTGCATGTAGAAGTCTCGTATATACACCTGCCACAATGTAGTAATTACATGTTCAACCCATATATATTGAGCATACAGAATTAAGCCTTTAGTCAACTAGAAAAACAGCAACTCCACGGAGTAGCAAATCCCACCGAACAAAACATATTTTGATTATTAGTGGCCATCTTGAAAATTCCTTTTGATTAGAGCTTCTTTGTCCCAAGGCAAATTAATGCAAATCTCCTGACTTAAAGGTATATATTCAATAAAGTGAGCGATTTTTCAACATATAACGCTTGACTGCTCTCGAGCAATACCTGGAGGAAACAAGAAATCCTGTATGTACATGTACTTGGTTCACTGGTTAGATAAAAACTCATCCTCCGAATGCAAAGGTCCAAACATTATCCACTCTATTCCTTCCTCATTCCTTCTTGACATCTGCGTTTGGAGGATGACAGAAACTTTGCGCCTAAATGTACTTAAGAAAATAGTCTATCTAAAAGCCTTTGTGACCCCCCCCCCTACTACAACAAGTGAGTGACCCCCCCCCCCCCTACTACAAATGAGAAGGTATGTAGTCAAATAAAGGGGGGGGGGTTCACAGAGGCTTGTAGCTTGACTATTGAGAAAACTACCTTTATCTAAAATGTACCTCAATAATGGCTTGAAGATCGTCTGCACAATTAAACATGTATTACAGTTTAAGGTCTAAGGTTGGCATGGTTACTGTGATAATCAGCACGTACCTGATACAGGTGTAAAAAAACTCTTAAGATAATTTGATATATTAAAAGAGTTCTAAATATATCTAGGATATTTCTATTTAAGTAACTTATACGTCTTTCATCTTTAAATATCTACATGGGGGATAATATTAGATCTAAATGAAATCGGGTATCTTTAGCTCAGAGCTGATGCGCATGTTCTCATGACATGCGAGTTATCTATTAATATTTCTAAAAATATATTTAGAAAATCATTTGGAGAAAATTGCTTGATTTGTCATCTCCATGAATTCTTAGAAAACATTTAGAGAGGATTCTTTTAAATTGCTAATCAATCTAAAAAACATTATAATACTATGATATGATTTCGATCGAACTCATTATTCATTATGTATTTTCAGTATAGATATATATATCATTTAGAAACCATTTTTCCGAATAATTCATATTTGATGAAATGTGATTAATATACCATTCAACGGGATACGGCTCCTATTTGTTTGAGATGACAATATATGAATATATGAACTTGAATGACAATATATATGACTTAGTTATGACTAAAATCACAATAATTTCATTCACAATGCACTTTTAATTAAAAAGATCTATTTTTAGATATCTGGAGAATAATAACATGTGACAGAAGTCACTTTTGCAAGTCCAGTCACCTTTGTAAATATATATACAGTGAAACCCCTTTATAATGAACACACTCAGAACTGACTAAATTGTTCTATAATATGAGTATGTGTTATGAAATAAAAGGGTGTTCCATTATACAGATTTTAATACATAACGTAAAGAATGTAATTTTCTATAATACACCTAATAAAAGGTTAATTAAAAGTAGAAACCTCGCAATCTGACAATCTGACTTGTGTATATTGAACACTTTTTTGACGAGAAAAAAAGTTCAGTGTTGGTGTGTTCACTACAGAAAGGGAGGGAGGGTGTCCACTATAGACAAGTGTTCAAGAGAGAGAGAGAGGTGTTCACTAACACATGTTTTACTTTATATGTAAATCTATTGTATTATCATGCAATGTTTTATCAAAAATTATCAGTACACAAACAGGATGCATAATTGATGGAAGGACACATTTTTGTCCTCTTTCCAATAATTACATTTCTCATCTTTAAAAGAAAGCTAGAAACATCTCGCCTCTGGGCTTAAGGTTAGCGTTTTTGTTAATTGTGAAATAAACTACTGTGGGGTTCAAATTAACTACTGTGGGATTCCTATTATCTTTTACAAACAGATTATTAAAAAACTCCCTAAGAATCGCACAAAGCTAGATCAATGATGCACGCAATATATCCAAACTAGATTAATACCTAACCAGACACTTCATAATAGAAGATAGAAACGATTTTTATACCAATCAGGTTGTCCAATAGATTTGATTAATCTAGTATAGAAAATGATTTTATATTGAAAAAGGAATTGGATGTTTTGTGATTATTAATTCATTTTACATTAAATAATATTTTTGTGAAAGGATGTTTGGTTTTAATGAGACAGTGATATGTTTAATAGCAGAGTTACAATGAAATGCGTGATGTAAAATAAGGGTATGTCACACAAACTTCATGGTACGTTTCACCTTTAAACATAGTACGTGTCAATCATACTCACTGGTACGTCACATAAACTGAATAGTGTGTTACACCTTTAGACTTATAAAGTGAGTGTCATACATACTCAATGGTATGTCACACAAACTGAATTGGGTGTTATACCTTTAGACTCGTAAAATGAGTTTCATACATACTGAATAGTATGTTACACCTTTAGACTCATAAAGTGAGTGTCATACATACTCAATGGTATGTCACACAAACTGAATTGGGTGTTATACCTTTAGACTCATAAAATGAGTGTCATACATACTCAAGTTTATGTCATATAAACTAAATGCAGCGTTACACATTTAGACTCATAAATTAGTGTCATACATACTGAATAGTATGTCACATAAACTGAATGGTCAAGTTATATCTTAAGAATCATGAAGTGAGTGTTGTACATACTCAATGGTATGTCACATAAATTGAATGCTGAGTTACATCTTTAGAATCAAGTAGTAAGTGGCGTACATACTCAATGGTATAGCACACAAAATATACTGTAATGGCATACACACAGACTGTATAATATGCCACATATAATGGTATATCACAGATCCAATGAACTGTCTAAAGGACAAAATGCTTTTTTCCTGAAATACCATTTCACACCAGTTTGTCTTACAGACACAAATGTGTGTTCAAATAATAGAAGAACTTCACCGTAAATGCAATATCCATCTTGGATATTTACTAAGTACTCAGAAGCAAGTGTTCTAAAACTGTCATTAATACACACAGTCATATTTCTCCAATGAAATACAATTCATATTTCATCCTAGGAGTAATATATTATATTAATATTCTGCAGAACACTGGCTCTTATGACAACAATAAATTGATGCATTATATGTTTTAGTCATTTCTTTTTAAAGGCCCCATGTAAAGTTCACTTCTGGGACATTTAATGTTTGCAAATAAATCTATGAGTAATATATTATATTAATAATCTGCAGAACACTGGCTCTTATGACAATAGTGAATTGATGCATTATATATTTTAGTCATTTCTTTTTTAAAGGCCTTATGTAAAGTTCACTTCTGGGACATTTAATATTTGGAAATAAATCTACTCAAATATATTATATTAATAATCTGCAGAACACTGGCTCTTATGACAATAGTGAATTGATGCATTATATATTTTAGTCATTTCTTTTTTAAAGGCCATATGTGAAGTATACTTCTGGGACATTTAATATTTGGAAATAAATCTACTCAAATATATTATATTAATATTCTGCAGAAAACTGGCTCTAATGACAACAATGAATTGATTCATTGTATATTTTAGACATTACTGGTTTAAAGGCCCTGTGTAAAGTTTAAACAATTTCAGGACAAGAATGTTTGGAAATAACTCTCTTTCATGTTTTTATCCTTTACTTAAAGAAAACATCAATAGCATAGATAAATAAATAAACATGAAGAACTTGTACATGAACCTTTTTATCCTAGATCTTATAAATCAATAACAGAACATTCCAAGATAATATTATCTTAGAAAGTATAATTCTTCAGTTTGTATTTCTAGTGAAATAGAAAGATGCTATTTCCAGGATTTTTCTCATCTCCTAATAAATTTCCAAAATGAGTAAAATAATCAAATTTTTTCAAGATTTGACCAAAAGAACAGAGTGCGAAACGTTACAAATGGATCTTAAACGGTATAAGGCGGGATTTGAGATGTAATGGTTTGAACATATGAAATGTACTTCTGAATTAAAAAATCATTATAAAAAGAAAAAATTAGCCCCAGGAATTAGTTCAACTATTGACTGAGTTTCTATTAATTAACAGTCAGGAACCCCAACCCTAGATATTTCCTCATACGCTCTTTATTTCATTCTCATATAGGACTGTAAAAATAGCAGGAAGGTTATAGGGGAAGTGATATTACCCAAGAATAATCCACAGAGACCTATTATTGCTCTCTATTGTCCATTTTGCAGTTATGCATTGAATGTGATCTGTCTGTCCTGAGTATGTAAAAATAACTGTCCAAAGAGAAAAGAAAATGAGTGTTTCTGAACATATACAGTAAAAATGGTGTACAGTGAACATCTATAGAGTCACAAAAATGTGTTCATTGTAGGTAGCTGTCCATGACAGAGAGGGTAATTCATACAGGAGGCAGTAGAGTATGTGCGAAGGGTGTCTATTAGAGACATGTGTTCAGTAGAGAGAGGTGTTCTTTAAGACGGGTTTTACTGTAATAGCATAACATTGATAAAAATCAAAGAGTTCAATGATGCCTAGAATGAATGTGAAAGTTATTATATGTTATGATTTTTCAAGATTTCAGAAAGATTAAATCAATTACACAGAAATGATGGTACATTTTATGTATTTTCTTCTATACTGGCGGCAAAATTAAATAGATTTGGTTTGACAGCCATATTGGAATCAAAATGTCAGCACCAAGTAGGTTTCTTTATATCATTTTATAAATATTTAAAAATAAAAAATATAAATGAAATATATGAAATAAGTAGTCTATAGGCTGTTTAAACAATAATAATTATTATAGAGAAATTATTATTTACATGTACTTTTTATCTACCGCACAGGATGCAGGTACAAATATTCACAGATAATTATACGCATGCAGTAAACAGCAATGTTATGAACAATTTATCGAAAGTATTGATAATTCGTGAACATTATGAAGATAATTAGATAATTATCTTGATAAATTTGTCATAAAATATATACAAATACAGCTTGTAGTCTCAGAGTTTTCTCATGTTTTTTAACACCCCTTTGGCACTCTTATGTGTTCTATTCAAAACAAAATTGGTGAATGAAATCTATTTCGATTATATGTTATTTGTATACCCCTAAGCTGAAAACAGTAGCTACATCATGAATTTTGATTTTATAGCATTATTGTGTTTATTTTTGCATATAAAATGTTTATTTAGCCGAGAGGAAATTAGTTTTACAACTACCTTATTTTTTATGTCGTTAAATCTTGCCCATCTATCTATTTACTATAGTGCCTTAAGGTAGTTCTTTATGATGGATATTTTAATGTAATCATCCTGAATATGATTAACAATATTTAATGAAATAGGTAATATTTTGAATATTTTATGTAGATATTTACATTATCTTGGAACAAATCTTTCAAAATGAATGAAGATATTTTGTTAAAATTATGCAGAAATAACATTTTGTTATTTTAGTTTTTTGATTTTATCTGAAAGTATAGGAACAATGTAAACAGTTTGAACTTAAATCATATCAGACAGCTTCACACCATGAAAATCCTAGATGACTATTAACACAGGTTCGTCCAGCTTGAACATCCTAAAACGGAGAACTTAGATTTATTTTAGAATGAAATCTCTTAAGCCTGAACAAGATGATTCCCTCATGTATCTTTGTATGTTGCACTGAATGTTAACAAATTACAAGTTTTCAACACTAATCGTGTTCTGTTTTTTATTTATACAAAGTAAGAAAGTATTTACACCATAGAGAGGAAATGGGAATTAGATGTATGTGAAGCATTTGTGAAGTGCTATCTTAGGTTTCTGGCTATACTTCATCACCCTAAACTCGCTCATCAGTTTGATTTTGAATCATGAAAACTCCGCACCTTATTGGGAATCCAACATGCCTTCATACAACACTCCCAGATTTGGTGTAAAAATTTATATAAAAATGTGTCCCTATAAGAATCAGGTTTTCTCCCCATTAATCTGGACTATTTCTTCCCCTTCCCCTACTGCAATCCATTCTATAAGCATCACTCCAACAGACTTTTAACTTACCAAATCTTGAATAGAGATAATAGAGTTAAGACTTCAGAATACCCAACTCTTATAAACACCAGGCACACACTGATCTAAATTAATCTGACTACCCTTGTCCCCCCCTCCCTCTCTACCCAAGGTAATTTCCGATTCCTTCTCCTCCTAGATCGTATTAACATCACCTTGATAGACATATCTTTAACCTGCAATATCTAATGGATGTTCCATTGATAAAGCGCAGATTTCCCTCCGAATGGAAAACATGACGATGTATTGTCATTATTTGCGATAAGAAAACAATGTTTGATTCTGGATCTACAGATCAATAAATGCACCCCTGAATAAAGTGAACGACATCTTATTTTAAAATTGAAATATAATTAAAACGGAAAAATGATTAGGGAAATAAATAAGCAGACTCTTAGAGAAGATTCACAATTTATATAGGAATCTAAATGTTGGTGTTTTTTCAAGTTTAATATAGAATGGCAAGGAAAATGAATGATCAATGATATGGTACATATTGAGAGCATTGATGAGAAAGATACTGTATGTTTTAACAGACGCATGGTGTTCAATTGTTAGAGCATAATATTGCGCTCATCAGCAGGTATTTGATACCATTCATTTATCTATACAGTGGATACCATAGTTATCTATGCATTAGTAGGTATCTTATATTAAGTGGATATCCTACTTATCCATAGAGGATACCATATGTATCCATATATAAGTGGATACCATAATTATCCAAATATAAGTGGATAAACTAATACATCTTGAATGAACAAATGTTTCTACAGACACAACAAAGCGAACTTCGGCGAATACAGTAACCATTGATAGAGGCGAAACCTAAAATGGCAATCAGTATTAGGAATCGCTAATTTTACTGATATTCTCTTGAAAATAAATTTTTCTATTTAATTTAGAGATTTAGATATGCCTGTTTACTTTATTATTTGATAATTTCATGACCTCGTGATATCTACTTTCAGGAATCCTTGAATAGAAAATATTATTGCATTGTGGCGATGTATCTACCAGTACCTGCTGAATTAGCCCCGAGCCATCACAGAAATTGATTCGATTCATTAATTAACAGGAGCCAATTTCCAAATGGACCATGTTACCTTAGGGCTACATGCTCGGCTGTATTAAAAAAAGTAATAAATGAAATACCCATGAAGAATAATCAGCGAATATATTTTCCATTTTATATGTTTCCATATTTCCACGTCATGTGTCAGAATGATTGCCTACTATAACTGAAGATATACGTGAAACTGCCACGATTTGACGGATTATCCATTTGGCTATGGAAAATTATCATGCAGCCTCGATCATATTTCCATCTCGATATGACCTTGTATGGTATCCATATTTATTGTATTCCTATCGTGCTGGACTCCACGATCAATTAGCTTACATATATGTTGTTGACATTCTTTTATAGCCTTTGTCATTAAACTGTTGCAAACCCATTGGCTATTCTGCTTTCCTCATTCCCTCACTAATGTCAACAATTTACTTGATACAGTACACACATAAAATTTAACATCAATACACTATAAATTAATAGTAACTTACGAAACTTAATAAACACTAGATGACAGTTAAACTCCCGAGACGCTATCTCTCTCTCTCATTCTGATGTTAAACTTGATAGAGAATTATATCAGGATTCCTTTATAGTGATGCCTTTAGAGTCTTCAGTTTGTACTTGAACAGCTGTTAACATAGTGCTTCTGAGTAGAAAATTTCCCTTTCATGCTACGACTATTTCCTTTTGTTTACCTCTTGTAGTGACTTAGATCCTACACATAGGCCTGTGATATCTTACATTTAAAAGTCCAGAAGCAGTATACTTTGGCGGTCTCACTTAGAAATTGTAGGTAATTAATTAACACAGTATGTTAACTTTCAGTCAGGTTAACTTTAGTATGTGAGAAATGCAAAATGGATTATCCTAATCCTTCTTAATCTCTTATCTCAGTAATCTCACTCATCCTGAAAATCTCTGTTATCTTTGTGAAGTTCTATAATGAACCTGTTCATCCTTACTGTTGCTATATCCATATACCATAAACTAAACAGGCAATACTCCTTTTCCACATCATATACTCAAAACAGAAAACCAGCTGCAATCTGATTGGTTGCCTCTAACCCTCGTAAATATATCTCTCTAACCACACAATTTTCATCTAAAATTAAAATCAACACACCAAGGTGATTTTCTGACATCTAAATTATGCTTTTTAAATATTAATCACACGCCTGCTTATTTTATTCCATGCAATTTTCACTGTTTTTCACTCAATTTTGTGCTTTCTGAAAGCCATGGTAATCTATACATAGGCATAGGCTTCTACTGTATAAACTGTGATATATCTACTCAATATTGTAGCCAGCTATTTTTTCATAACAAAAACTAATTCTTCATAACATACATGATTGATTACAATTCTAACATCTGTAAAACTATAATTACTTACTACTTTTTGTTATTATTTTCATTTCATAACTAATGTTATTTCAATATTAGACCTAATTAGACCTAATGAATAGAATAATGGCAGGTACTATTCATATTGAAATGAGTTGCCTATGAATTGTAGATTAGCCCAGTAGCAGTTATTTGCATTCACAAATACAAGCTAAGTTCGTCTAAACAACTCATGCATGGCATTTTAGGCTATAGACCTTTAAAGAATTAATTCATTCATATCATTCCTTGTTTTGCCTTTTTCAAGAAATCCAGAAAATGTCATCATTTCACCAATTTTTTAGAGAGATTCACATTTATTGTTTTGGGCCAAACTAAATAGCAAAACAATCACAACTAGGTATTCCTGCTTTCCAGTCATATGAGTAAATTCAAATTATTTTTAATACCTTATATGGAAAATATTACTGTATTCTATGTAATTAGCACCCAGGGTGTTTAGAAAATTGAAAATGCATCCTTCAGACCATTCTAATAAGTGCCCATATATGAAAGAAGTCAAAAATCCCCGGGAATTTCATGCATGACAATTATTTTTGCCAAGAATGCCTTATTTGCAACATCAAAATGAAGTAACAGCATATTTTTACAATAATGATATGTATTGTTATTGGAGAGATTACGGTAAAGATCGCTAAAATAAAGCAAGGATCTAAATGATTCCTGCATTTTTGCCATCAATTTTGGGTTATTAAAATCCCATTGGGACTCGGAGCGATGGATATATCGTCACGGATATTTTCACTGAAATCATTATAACTTTGTTGACAATTCTGTACCTTTTCATCTTTTTCTGTTACAATTTCATCTACCGTATTCTCTGTAATTACCGCCCACTCTCTAATAAGCGCCCACCCCGCTTCACAAAGTTCAAGAAACATCGAGGAATCAACAAGAATTGAAGAATATATCAGGAAAAAAATATTTCTCAAAATCCAGGAGCGGGCGATAATAGAGTACTTACCCTAAAACTGCTGTAAACACGACGCATTTTGTAATTCTATGCATCGATACATATCTATCGATGGGTGCTTCCCACACCATACCATGCTAATATTGTCTCCAAATAGTCCATAATGAATGAAGGAATTGTTCTTTATCGGCATTCAGAAATTTCAAAAGCTACTGCGCAGATGTTCTGCGCATGTCAAGGTCGTGAACTTTCTGGTTTCTTTTTAATGTTTCTCGACTTTTACACGACTTTTGCACGAATAATGATGATCTCTCATCAAATTAGAAATAATGTATAACTTTAGAACGATATCCAGCAGTCTCTAGTGGAAATATTGAAGGTAATCGGTGATAATGACAAAGTGGGCGTGCCGGAAATAAATTAGACATAGACGGGTCTTCAACCACTGTCAATATTGTCTAAGCGATCTTTACCATATTCTCTCCAATAACAGCACTTGTCATATTATTATAAAAACATGTTGAAGAAAATGCATTCTTGTCAAGAAAAATTGCCATACATGAAATTCCTCGGGATTTCTGATTTCTTTCATACATGGGCGCTTATTAGAATGGTCTAAATAATGTATTTTCAATTTTCTAAACGCCCTGGGCGCTAATTACAGAGAATACGGTAACTTAAAATTCTAAATGTTATGATGTTCTGTTTTGCCAAAGGTGACTTTAACAAGTTGCAATTTTTTTGCTTACCAAAATAAACATTTGTCAATGGTCGATGACATCCCTCATTGCTCATTTCCATACAATGTCTCTCTATATTGCTGCTGTATCAAGCTTCTGACCTTGACAGGACATTGCGATTGAGTATGTGTCTGACATTAACATCTTTAACTTCTGAGTTTGATTGATAGTGAATCGTAATGATTCTATAATGAAGGACATTTGGACATGAAATAACTTTTTTGAACCTAGCATGTTAGAGCAAGAAACGCAATGTGAATCCAAGCGAATAAGCCCTATCCTATCTAATTAGACGCGATGAGTGGGCTTGACCCAAGTTGAGGCATTTTACATCTCAAAAGCAAGGTAGCACATGTTTTACAGCTACATCACCAAAAATTCTCATCTCGAGGAAAACACCCATCTCCCCTCACAGGATTTGCGCTCATTGTAGCATGTAACACAATATTTGGAATACATTAGATCTTATAGACCATTTCTCAAATAGTCACCTTGACATCAGACATTCTACTAATTTGAATGAAGTGTCTGATTTTCTGGCAGTTCTTTGCAATTTAGGATGACTTCAATTTTGATTCTAGGACCTATTTCTCCTCTTATCTACTTTAGTTTTGAGATGTGTCGATACCATTTCTAGAGGTCCCCTTTTAGTCAGTCAAAGACCTTCGTGACATCAACCATTTATCAGGAATCAACATGAAAGTCAACAAGCAGAGGAGCAAAGATTTTATATTGAATTTGAGATCCATTACTTGTTTCGGGGGGGGGGCTCCTTAACATAGCTTAATTAATTGTGAAACAATAGTTCATTCATAGAACGTAGAATAAAACTTCCCAAATATCATCACCTAAATATCTTAGACTTAATGACCAAATATCCTTAATTTACTAGTCAAATTAAACCATGCCCTTTTTCACTCAATTTCCTCTCTTGAATTTGAAAGAAACATCACATTCTATAGTATTACCATACACTTGTCATACAAGACTTTTGACTATATGTCTGATTATTTTGTTCCTTGATAATTCCCCTAATTTTCATTTCATTTTGAACTTCAAAATATGGCCTGTGATATTTTTCGTCCGGGTTTAATCCTAAAATATTGGGAATTCTCCACCCATTTGGTCAACAATTACAGTGATGGACTAGTATAGGAAATAAAGTGACAGGCCAAGGTAAGGAGTAGCTTCTAACATGATAATCTATCACTGTTTTTCCTCCTGTAATTTAAACTGTTATTTTACTAGTACAGTACGACCTGTCAAGTGAAACCTCCCCCCAAAGTAAAACACCTCCATAAGTAAAACACCTCCATAAGTAAAACACCTCCATAAGTAAAACACCTCTGCAAGTAAAACACCTCCATAAGTAAAACACCTCTGCAAGTAAAACACCTCCATAAGTAGAACACCTCTGCAAATAAAACACCTCTGTAAGTAAAACACCTCCATTAGTATAACACCTCTGCAAGTAAAACACCTCCATAAGTAAAACACCTCCAAAAGTATAACACCTCTGTAAGTAGACACCTCTACAAGTAAAACACTTCTGAGGCCTGTTACCTCTCACATTTACTTGAGGCAAACAAAAGAGCCTCTCTATGTTGACCACCTCCCACCTACCTTTGAGGTACTATAGGTGTTTTTATTATTGCTGTACATCAAATGCAATATAATGTGAAATAAGTCGAGGTGTACCTGGTGCTTTCAGTAAGAATACTGCTTTGAAGGTCACTTATAAAGGTTGGTAAATTGAGTATATTTCAAACTTATTCAGAAAACTTCTAACAATAGGTATAGGAGCCTTGTTACAATATAAATCTAAAAAAAATATATGGCTAAAAATACAAAGTATAATCGTAAACCTCCAAAAACCCAGAAAATAATTTATTTGGCTTCATCAACAACAACACCACAACTATTGTTAAGGTAATGTGCGTGAATGAATAATGAGGTCTTGAACGAATTACGCCATAAAATTTTCGCCATTTTCATATGCTATTCCATCAATTATATCATTTTTATGAATTCCGTATTGAAAATGTTTTTTTGTATGCTATTCCATCAATTATATCATTTTTTATGAATTCCGTATTGAAAATGTTTTCTACTTGCCCCCTATGCAAATCCTGGCAGTTATATTATATCATATATGGAAAAAACAGAAAATTAAAATACATTCACACACATGCCAGGGCTTGCACCAGAAAATATTTTGGGTGTGGTGGAAACACCTTCATCATAACCTTTCAATCGAGATAAATCATATTTATGTTATATTTCATCCTTTTCACATGCTATTATAGTATATTCAGTCAAGTTTAGACTGTGGGAACAATCAATATTTACCAATAGGTTGTGGTGGGAGCTGAATAGACTGTGTGGTACTGCGCCACGGTCTAAAAGCCTAGCGAGAGATCCCTTCATGTTTAAAAGTCATTATACATAAACACTGCCTACCTTAAGTCTAAGTTTTCTGATCGTTAGACTTAAGTATAAATCATATACCTGTAAACATTAGCATCCATTATTGGAAATGTCAAATCCACCTGTTGATCCAAGAATCAATACTTCCAGTTAAAGGGATACCATTAGTTATATCAAAATATTTCATTGTAGAATAATACTTCCAGTTAAAGGGATACCATTGGATATATCAAAATATTTTATTTTACGTAGTTTAATACTTCATAGAAATTTCCTTAATTGCTTATTCTAGGATCTTGATCTTACATATTACTGAAGGAATACATAATATTGTATAATAGTACATAATAGTATGTATTCTTTGTCATCAGAATTATTACAAGAGGTCTATTCATTTCTTTAATTTTATAATTTGGATCTCCTGTAAATTCAATTGCCAAACCGTATTTTTAATTTTTTTTTAATTTAGCCTTATTTCTTTTCTGTGAACATTAATAACCAAATTTTTACAGAGTGCAATTGACAAATAATAACTCGGTTAACATATGTTGCTTCCCAAGAGTGACATTTCCCAAAAAATAGCTCCTAGGGGTCTCTGCAGGCTATCTCAATTTCATTTTTATATATGTTTATCTGTATTTTATTCATCATTAATTTACTCATTTGCGTATCAAGTCTCTATTGGGTCTCTTCTTCCCACTTGCATCTACCCCTTATATATATCTATAGCTTTATATAAAAAACAATCCAACTCAAATGATTTTTTTTAAAATTATG